GTATTGTATTATTTTTATGCTATTTTAAATGCAATGATATGTGTAAATTCATTTTCTGAATGTTTACTAGTAGTTCATTTCTACTGATTTTTGTATATTAATCTTGTGTCTTGCAACCTTGCTAAATGTTTTTCTTTAGAGCTCATAGTTTTGTTTGTGTGGTGAGTGGGCAGGGGTTATTTGAACTTTTATTTACAAGATTATGTCATCTCTAAATAAATATTGTTTTACTTCTTCTTTCTCAGTTTAGAGCCCTTTTATTTCATTTTTTTTGCCCAATTCCCCAGCTAAATCTCATAATGCAATGTTGATTAGAAATGGCAAGAGTGAACATTCTTGTTTTATTACTGATCTTATGGAGAAATCTTTCAGCCAGTTACCATTAAGTATGATCTATACTAAAGATTTTACCAGGGTAAGAAAGTTCTTTTCTACTCTTAATAAGTTTAATATTTTTATCATGAAAGGGTGTTGGATTTTGTCACATATTTCTCTGTGTTTGTGAGATAATACTGTGTGTTGTTTTTCCCTTTGTTTTATTAATATTGATTTATATTTGTTGTATCATGATCCTGGAATAGATCCCCTGTGGTCATGGTATATAATTTTTTAACAAATTGCTGAATCTGGTCCTCTAGAATTTTTTTGAGGATTTGTATATGAATATACATAAGAGATGGAAGTCTACAATGTTCTTTGTGATTTCTTTATCTTTTTTTTTTTTTTTTAAAATCAAAGTAATACTGGCCTCATAAAATGCATTGGGAAGTGTGTCTTTATCTTCTACTTTTTGCAAGAGTTTGTGCAGGATTGGTGATAATTTTTCAAATATATGATAAAAATTCACCCATGAAGTCATCTGGTCCTGGGCTTTTCTTTGTAAGATGTTTGTTGTTGTTATTGCTTACTAAATCTATCTCTTACTCTTGTTACAAATTTATTTAGATTTTAATTTCTTCTCCAGCCAATTTCAGTAGTTTTTATTTTTATGGATCATCCATTTCATTTAGAATATCTAATTTATTGGAGTATTGCCTGATAACCCTTTTATCTTTAAGATCAGTAGTAACCTTCTCTTTTCATTTCTGATTTTATTATTTTATTAATTTAAGTCTTTTCTCCTTTTTCTTTTCTTTTTTTTTTTTTTTTTGAGATGGAATCTCACTCTGTAACCCAGGTTGGAGCGCTGCAGTGGTGTGATCTCCACTCGGTTCATCCTCCTCCTCCCAGGTTCAAGCAATTCTTCCTGCCTCAGCCTTCCAAGCGTCAGAGATTACAGGTGCTCACCACCACGCCTGGCTAATTTTTGTATTTTCCGGTATAGACGGAATTTCACCATGTTGGCCAGGCTGGTCTTGAACTCCTGACCTCAGGTTATCCATCTGCCTCGGCCTTCCAAAGTGCTGGGATTACAGGCATGAGCCACCGCACTCAACCTCTCTCTTTTTTCTTGATCAATCTAGTTAATGGTCTAGAAAAATGGGTTCTTGATCAACTTTGTTGAACTTTTCAAAAAAAAAAAAACTTTTAATTTTATTGATTTTCTCTATTTTCATTACTTGTTTTACTAATCTCCACCTTAATCTTTATTATTTTATCCTCTGCTTGCTTTGAAATGTACTTTTCTTTTTCTAGTTTACTTTTATTTATTTATTTATTTATTTTTTGAGACGGCGTTTTGTTCTTGTTACCCAGGTTGGAGTGCAGTGGTGCAATCTCAGCTCACTGCAACTTCCGCCTCCCAGGTTCAAGTGATTCTTCTGCCTCAGCCTCCCCAGTAGCTGGGATTACAGGTGCCTGCCACCACGCCCAACTAATTTTTTGCATTTTTAGTAGAGTGACGGGGCTTCATCGTGTTGGCTAGGCTGATCTCAAACTCCTGGCCTCAGGTGATCCGCCTGCCTTGGCCTCCCGAGGTGCAGGGGTTGTAGGCATAAGCCACTACACCCAGTCTCTAGTTTATTAATGCAGAAGCTTGGCTTATTCTTTCATGAAATTTCTTATTTTTTAATGTGGGTGTCTACAGATAAAAATTCCCTCTGATTATTAATTTATATACATTCATTAAGTTTTAGTACATTATGTTTTAATTTTCTTTAGTATCAAATTATTTTCAAATTTTCCTTCTCAGTTCTTTCACCCATTGGTCATCAATGAGCATGTTGTTCAATTTCTATATAATTGTGAATTTCCAAAATGTCCTTCTGTTATTGATTTCTAATTTGAATCTACTGTGGAAGAAGAACACAGTTTGTTAAGTTTATTGAGACCTATTTTACAGCATGACATAAGTTTATCTTGAAGATTGTTCCACGTATGCTTGGAAAGAATGTGTATTTTGCTGCTGTTGGGTAGAGTGTTCTTTAGATATCTTATAGTATTGTTTTAATTGTCTTGTAGTATTGCTCAGATCTTCCATTTCTTTGTTCATCTTCCACCTAGTCATTCCGTCCATTACTGAAAGTGGGATATTGACCCTCCAACTATTATTACTGAATTGTCTGTTTTTCCTTTTAATTATGTCAGTTTTTGCTTCATGTCATTTCAGGGTGTTTTTAGATGTGTGGATGTTTATATTCATCATGCCTTCTTGATGGATTCACTTTTTTATCAATATCATGATTTTTATGCCTTTTAATCCTGTAAGTATAGTGCCCTTTAGTTCTTTGAATGTATGTATAGCTGCTTTTCAGCCTTTGCTAAGGCTATCATCTTATTTCCTTCAAAGGCAGTTTTTATTTCCTGGTTTTTGTTTGTTTATTTTTGTCTTCATTTTTGTTTTTCCTCTCCTCCTTCCCCATATATGAATTATACTTTCTTGTTTCTTTGAATGTCTCATAAATTTTTGTTGAAATTCTGTAGACTGATCCCCAGACCCTACCAGAGAGTACTGTTGCTGCCCACTTGGCAATTTGTTTACATATTTAGGGACGTGGCTGAAATAATTCCGTAGTTTTTTTCCCATCAAAGTGTGCATCCTCTAATACCCCTACATACATTGTCCACCCTTGTTTTCATCTTTTAATCTAGCTGCCTAGAGGTCACCCTATACCAGCATAGGTCACTTACTGATCAAATATTGTACCTAATCTTTCTTAGTCAATTAGATATGTACCTTTTAGCATTGGATATATATGTGGCTTGTAGGCTGCTCTCTTGTTTCGGAGAGTTTACATGTTTGTTTTTGCCCACATTTTCCCAGGGAATTTTAGGTTGGTTCTTCCCTCTCTGATCTCTCCCAAAGGCCTGCAGCCTACGGCATATATACAATCTTCTACGATGCCAAGGATGTGTGCAATTTTATTTTTAAGCCTGGTGTCCTAGGAGGTATCTTTGAGTCAGAGAGACCTATTTTTTAGCCAGTGTTTGGTTAGAGGTTGTTTTTAAGCCCCTTTTGCCACTGAAACTTCTATCCTGTGTTGATAGGTGCAGTTTGGTTAATACTGTCAAGTCAGCGCCATGTCCTACCGTGATTGCTCCTGAGTGGGTGACAGCATAGACAGGTGCACAGTCATCAAGACCCTCAAAGTTGACTGTGATACAGGAGGGCTCTTCTTGGCTGCCTCTTCTTTTGTTTCTCTCTATTAAACTTCTGGCTATTCTTCCATGTTGCTTGTGTCCTGGAATTACCAATCTCCTTTAATTGCCTTCCACCAATATCTCCATTGTTTTCAACAAGGCCTTAAGGAATGAGTTTCTCCACTCCATGTTTAAAGTCAGTCAGTCCTTTTAGCCAGTGTCCTGGAGCTCCTTATTCCTAAAGACAGTGTTTCAACTTGGGGAAAATCCTTGGGCCACTGCTTAAAGCTGGGGCTGGAAACTTTTTTTGAAGTGAAATCCTTGCTCCATGTTGGGCACATAGTGGAAGGAATGTCTGCCTCTCGCATATGGAATCTCCACCCTAAAGGTTGGCCTGAGTGTGGATGATCAGAGACTCAGTATTACTGGCCTGCTGTCCATGGAGTAAAGTTCTCACCCCGTGACTGGAGACTGGGGAAAGAGGGGTGTGATGAGAAACAACAGTCTGCCTCTCCTGGTGTGAAACTATAATCTCAGACTTGAAGCTGGGAGAATGAGGACCTCCATGCCTTCCTGGCTGTAGAGCTTTGAGTAGAGCTTCTGTAACACAGAGCTGGGCTGGAGCACAAGGTAGGAAGCAGGTTACCAAGATTTAGTAGATTGTTTTTAAAAGAATATTTCTCCATTTAGACAATTTGTACTTTACAAGATGGTGTATTAGTTAGTTTTCATGCTGTTGATAAAGACATACCAGAGACTGGGCAATTTATAAAAGAAAGAGGTTTATTGAACTTACAGTTCCACATGACTGGGGAGGCCTCGCAATCATGAAGGGAAGACAAACAGGAGCAAGTCACATCTTACATGAATGGCAGCAGCAAAGAGAGAGCTTGTGCAGAGAAGCTCCCGTTTTAAAAACCATCAGATCTCATGAGACCCATTCGCTATCAAAAGAACAGCATGGGAAAGACCTGTCCCCATGATTCAATTATCTCCTCATCTGCCATCAGGTCGCTCCCACAACACTGGGAATTATAGGAGCTACAAGATGAGATTTGGGTGGGGACACAGAGCCAAACCATATCAGATTTGTTTTTAGTCTTCATTATTTGAATTGGCATTTTGGTGGGTAGAGGATATTCCAAGCTCCATACTTACAATTCCTGCTTTCTGAATATCTTTAAAAAAAAAAAACTGCATTGAAAAAGACACTCAATTGGTCATTTCAGTTTTCTCTATTGTTATCCCAACTGCACCCCCTCAAACCAACACCACCATTTCACTACTGTAAGCCATGTACCACTCTCTCCATAAGCTTCATCGGCAAGCTGAATCTTTACTATACACGCAATATCCAATATAAGGCCTAAGCCCATCACTTATGATCCAGAGCAATATCTGTCCTTTTCCTGGGCTTTAACTGCTGCATGCTTCAATCAACCCAACACCACTGTGTGGCCTGCACAACTTCTACCATTTTCTTGATTAGCCTTTGCTTTAGGAATAGCAATGAAAATCATTACATTAAAGATTCCAATGGCATAACTCTTTAAACAAGTCTACCACTTTCCCCAAATAGTCTAACCTAAAAAAATAAGCATCACTATTCAAAGTCTTTGAGTTCCTCTATCCATCTGCTTCCCTCCCATGCTTAAACTGCCACAATACTATGAATTGCTCACTTAAAATAAACCCTTCACATATTTTTTTCTGTCTTCTATCTGTCAGCATTTAGAAGGTTAATGACATATTTTTCTTCCTTCAGAAGAGTATTATATACTGATTCTCTCCATGAATCCCTCCAGATACATCTTCATTTGACTATTCTCATTTCAGCAGCCTCTCCTGTGTATGTTCATATCTCTGTAAGTAGTTGAGTACATTTAATATATTTACTATCTTTAATTTTTGTGCTGTAATGAACAAATCTACTTTTTTTCTTTAGGACTTTGACACTCTAGGAATATGATTGTACCTATGCATTTTTGTGTCTAATGCACAATTAGCAGCATTATGATATATCTTAAGTTGATTGTTTAATATTTGAATATCTAGGTAGAACACATTGGATAAAAGAATAGAAAATTTTGCTGTGCTATTTCTCAGAAGTAATTTGGTTTCTAATCTTTGGAAACATCCGTATATAAAGGAAAGGTGGTATGCTGTTAAACTCTAGTCTCGGCAGAATTTATATCAAGTTCACATTAATGACATTTTATGGATGATTTATACATATATTACATCTAGTTGTTTGACTTTGGGAAAGTTATTTAATAGTATTAGCCTGTATTTTCACATCTGTAAAATAAAATTCTGAACACAGTGTTTCTAAAGGCGCCCTCTGTGCTAAAATTGCTTCCTTTCTGTACTTTAGAAAGTCACCAATTTTGGCTGGGCATAATTAACTTGCTGATGTCAGAACCTGGCATGGTTGATAGTGGGATTTTGTCACCGCCAACTTCCATCCCTGTGGTTATGTGTCCTCAGGACCAGACCATGTTTGGAGGTTTTCAGTATAGCTTGTTCATAAGTGGCTACCCTCTCTCTTAGGGCAGGCAAGACCTCTCTGTCAGCAACTCCCACTTCTCTTAATATGTAAACTGGTTTCAGGGTCCAAAAATTCTGGAAAAAATAAATAAAAAATAAAAATAGAAAAATCTAAAGATCAGGCATATTCTACCCTATTCAAAGAGAGTTTGTTTCATACATTAAAACTTTTAACAAGTAACAATTTTCTTATCTAACCTCACCCACCCCACATACAAATTTTTCACCACATAAAATTTTTTCAGGATATTCAAGGCTGCTATTATCCAGCTTGAAATTAGGAGTGGAGGGGGAGATCAAGAAGACTGAAGCCAAGAGCAACACTGAAACTAATAAGGAATCTCAATTTGTCAAGTCAGTATAACGGTTTGCCAAACAAAGTTTTAAATGATTTAAATACCCCAGTGTGTATTATAGACCAGTTCCTGAGTTATGTTAACCTACACGTTGACAACTTTTGTGGATTTTCACATACTAATTTTCAAATTCATTAAAGAGAACTAAAAATATCTGTAGGTATCTTTTCCTTCTTTACAGGCAAGTTACAGAATTATTTTCCTGATAACACGTATGACTTGGTAACCACATCAAGCCAAAACATATCTACCATATTAGTGTCCCTATTGGGTTACGCTTAAAATGTTCTGCTTATAACACTCAATAAACAATCTCATATGTGTACCATAAACCTTTGTTATATGTGCCAGGCTGAGAAAGAGCAGAGGAGCTCTGTGGAAGGTCTTTGAGTTCCAAGTCATTTGCTCACAGTTCAGTGGGAGGATGAACAAGACTGTTGGGGGGAGGGGATTAATGACTTCAACAATATTACTTGCCCCAGAGACTCATAGTGCTATGTGCCAGTTTGAGCTACAAGGTGAGAGACCAGAAATTACAGCAGGCAGCCACATTCAAGCAGGTAATGAGTGTGTTGCATATGGTCCATTACTCACTATGATAGCGCATTGTTATGATTTGTAAGCTGCTTTATTAGGTGTCAATCTTATAGTACTTAAAGACACATTTTTTAAAAAGGTCTTTATTTTGATTCATCCTGCACTTATTGATAAATACTGGGAATAACAATTATTTAGTTTTGGAACGAGACCCCTACTCAATGCAGAAAGGGTTTTGCATACTGAGGTTGAATTACTTGGGAGTTAAGAACTTCTAGATCAATTTGGCACATCATGTGGAAGTATGGTGATACTCACAGAACACTTAATCCTTAATCCTTAAGGGTTCTGTGAGTATGACCATTTTGTCATTTTTCCACTTAATAAAGTGGAGAAATGAGATACTTCCAAGGGTTTGTATTAGGATAATAAAATCTGAGACATAGTTTGTTTTCAGTACATTTGTAAATAGTCAAGGGCTTAGTCTACCTCCATTCTACACATATTTGTAAGCACCAATTATCTAGAAGTCATTGCAATTGCTATAAACTACTCATGATTTTGATATTTAAAAGGAACCACAATTTATTTTAGACTTACTATGAGCAAGAAACCTTTCTTAGCAAGTTACAAGTATAATCTCTTACCAACCCTATGAGATAAATGCTATAATGTTTTCTCTTTAACAGGTGAGTTGAGACACAGAGGATTTAATTAATATATTTTTCATCGTGCAACTAATATATGCTGGAAAATAGCTTTCATGTCTCTGAAATACATGGACTGCATATATGCAATAATACATGATGTATATTATATAGGGGATATAGACCATGATATATTAAATATACATTAGATATGATATTATATATGATATAAAATATTTATTATATTTAATGATGTAATTATGTTACAGATATTATACATAAAATAATGTATTTATGCTTTTACATATGTAATATACACAGAAATATATAAATATTCGAGTATATACATACACACGTGTGTGTGTAGGTATATATGTATGTGTACGCATGAATATATGTGTATATGTTTGTGTGTGGATATCCACACACAAACACACACATATATATAGAGAGAGAGATATATGGAGAGTAAGCAAGAGATAATCACTTCATTTATGGAGACAAAATACTGACATTTGGATATATAAAATTGGGATGGGCATTGAAAGGAATAACATGGAGGACATTAGATAAGCAGAGAAAAATTCAAATGTGGTCAGGTTGTAAGAAAAATAAAATCAACATGGTATGGCAGTGGATGAGAAAAAACGCCTCAAGCTAGGCAAAAAAAAAAGTGATCACCTAAACAGGTTACTGAGTTTTCCAGCCTCCTAGAGGCATACAGTGCCTCTCAAAATCTTCTCTAGTTTATCAACCACCCAGTAAAAGAGACTTGATTACATTTTTATTTGCCAACTTATAATGAAGAAATTTGAGTTTTTACATGTCTCAGAGGCATCCAGTCTGCAATATCTCCAAAGAAATAAATTAATTGATTTATTCAACTGTTTTGTGAGTATCAAAACACAAACTACATATAGGGAATTCTAAAATAAAGACATGCTCTAGTTTTTTATATCTTATGGTAATTATATTTACAAAAAGAAAATAACAGTCATAAAAGCTGAGATAATGTTGAGTAAGAGTCCAGAATGTGGCATGGAGGACCTGGCATCTGAGTGAGACGTCAACGACCCTTCAGATACTAGAGCATAGTGAAGAACATAGGAAAAGAAGAGGGCTTGACCCCTGTGGTACATGTCACACAATCATGGTCATAGCACCGGGCGCGGTTGCTCACGCCTGTAATCCCAGCATTTTGGGAGGCCAAGGTGGGCGGATCACGAGGTCAGCAGTTTGAGAGCAGACTGACCAATTTGATGAAACTCCATCTCTACTAAAAATACAAAAATTAGCCAAGCATGGTGGTGCTCACCTGTAGTCCCAGCTACTCGGGAGGCTGAGGCAGAAGAGTCGCTTGAAACCTGGAGGCAGAGGTTGCAGTGAGCTGAGATTGCGCCACTGCATTCCACTCCAGTCTGGCGACAGAGTGAGACTCCATCTAAACAACAAAACAAAACAAAACAAAACAAAATTGGTCATAGCAGGGGAAGTGAAAGTACAGTAACAAGAACAAGACATGACCCAGGGAAGTTTACTTGACATGTAGACATACAGAATTTCTGGAGGAGAATTCACTGAAATTGCTATAATTAGCAATAATTTCTTCTGGTATTAAATGGGAATCTTCCTCTATGAAATACATCTATGAATCTTTACTATGTTCTCTGGAGTTATACTGGATAAATAAATGCCCTTTCCAAATATTTATGAAGAGCTATCACAGTGTGTTGCAATCTGAAATCAAGGAAGCTCCCCTTCAATTTCTCATCTCTTTTTTGCTTCTCTCATTCCCTAGTCTAAATGATCTCTTACACTCCGGCAAGCATTCATGTACCCCATTTCTCCTGATTTCTGAATTCATTTTCTCCTCACAACAGAAAAATATTTAATGCTATTAATTATATTCACAACAAAACTCAGTTGCAATTGCACAGGAATTTTAAGGCAAAAATAACGCGGGCCCCTATCTTCTACACATACTTTAGGTTTATGTCACTTCAAGGAGTTAACACAATGGGAAACCCTAAATTTCTTGTAAATATTTCCATTTTGTGAGTTTAACTCTATCTCCAACAGTGGAACATCAGAATTGGATGAGAGTTTATGTTAAAAAAAAAAAAAAAAAAAAAGGAAACTTCATCACAAAAGTTGTGTTAGTCAGAGTAGGTTAACTATTCAACAAACATTTTCCAAATATTAATAGTTTGAGAAAATAAAAGTTTATTTCTCATTCAAGTCAGAATCCAATATAGTTGGCTGGGGAGACAAGATTCTAGTGGGTATACAGGAACCCAAGATTTTTCAATATTTTGCTCTCTATTATCTTCTAGTGCTTTAGAATTATTTGCATGTTTCTCTGTATCCAAGCTGGCAACAGTTTTTTTGAGTAGCATCCATCATTTCCATTCATATTCCATTACCAAGAACTCAGTCACACATTCTCACTTATCCAGAAAAAAAGAGATCAGGAAACCATTTGGCTGTATGCCCAGGAAAGAGGGAAATAAGTTTGGAATCTTTGTCCCAGAAGCTTAGGTAATACTAGGCAGACATATATAGGTAAAATCAAATAAAGGCTAAGTATATAGGGTTCCTGATCCAGAATCAGTGACACATGTATAAGAGTACCATATATGTTACTCACTCTGATAATGTTGAAATATAAAGAAGTAAGACTTATCATTCATAACATTGTGACAGAAAAGCCGCCTTGTTTAGAACTGCCTCCTTAGCATCTGTGTCTACTTTGATACATTGTGGAATCTCAATGAGTTT